GGTCACGACCTATCAGAGAACAGTCACATGACATCAGAGGTCACGACCTATCAGAGAACAGTCACATGACATCAGAGGTCACTGACCTTTCCTTCAGCTGCAAATGTCTGCAGAAAATCCTTCAGTTCAGTTTTCATGTCGTTGTACCCTGAAACAAAAGAACACAACAAACAAAATGTGTAGCACTTGTAGTTCCAGGTGTACTTTCACGTATAGTACTTTTAATTTCATTTGTAGTACATGTAGTTTTAAGTGTAGCACTTGTAGTTTCAGGTGTGGTAGTTTTTCTTACCATGGATGATCTCGAGTTGCTGCACTCGGTTCAGGTTGTCGAGTGCTGACATCAGAGGGTCGTGTCCTTGTTGCTTCTGTTCGTTGTTTTTTCCTTTTCTCTCGTAGGCGAGGACGGTGTCCGACTCGTCCAATAAGAAGGACAGATTAGCTTGTGACAGAAGCTCCTGAGGACAGACACAGAACAGTTACACACTGAAGTCTGGAGTGATGTGTTCTGGTTTTTTAAGTTCTGAGAGAAACGTGTTTGAAGATGTTCACTTTGTCTGCAGAACGCACAGATGACAGGTGAAGACTGACGTGCTAACAGGTCGTCAGTCTTCACCTCTACACGTTGTCATGTTGCTGTTTGCTCGTAGTTTAGTCACAAACATTTAGATCATTTAAAAATCCACCAGTCGCTGTGCGGTCTGTACTAAACTATGTGTTTACGTCATGTGACATGTTCCATCGATCAAATTAGTCAAATCATAAGCCTATGACCTCACACTGACATCATGAGTGCGTCAGCCACGTTACCTGGCAGGCGGTGCAGGAGCAGAGTTTGGAGCGCCACCCTGACGGCCAGAACACAGCCCCCGACCGGAGTCTGTTCTGACCAGTCCTCTGCGGTTGCTTCAATCTGCAGCTCGACTCCGCCTCCTCGCGACTCCGCTTACTGCTGGGCTCGATGACATCATCCACCTGATCCACCTTATAGGTCGTTCATCAGTGACATGCTTCAAAAAGAATGGTCGAGCGTACATGAATGTGAGCCAGTGGAACCCTCTCACCTGTGGTTTGTCAGGAGCGTCGGTGTTTGATTCTCCTCCTGTCTCCTCCTTCACCTGTGCCGCTGCACCTGAGACTGAACAGGAATTACGTCACATACAGGAAACACGTCACACGGCAGCTGTGAGTCGGTGACTTACCTGCCAGCAGATCAGCGTAGGTCCACAGGAAATCATTTTTATTCATACACAGCTCACAAATCATCTCCTGCAGCTCGACACAGTCGGGAATCACACAGCCCAGGTGCTGCAGGTACAGGTGAGGTCAGTGAGGGTTGACCACCAGGGGGCACCACAACAAGTACACGGCACCATTCAGATTATTTAATTAAGAAAGTGTGGAGTGTTTGTTTGAGTGGAGTTGCAGTTAGAGCACAGGACTTAAAGGTACAGTGTGTAGAATTTAGTGACATCTAGTGGTGAAGTGTCATGTTGCAGCTGAAAGTATGTAAAT